AGGCTGGCCTTGAACTTGGGATCCTCCTGCCTTAGCCTCACTGGGATTATAGGCATTTGCCAATGTGCCCTAGCACATTTTGTTGCTCCATTCACCAGTTGATAGACATTTGGTTTGTTAATGGCTTTTTTGAATAATGTTGCCCAAAACACACAAACAAGTTTTTGTGTAGGCATTTATTTTGTGTACATATCCTAAGACTAAAATGGCTGAGTCATGAGGTAAATTCAATTGTTTTCCAAACATTCCCATGAGCAATGTATGAGAGTTTCTCTATATCCCCAACACTTGCTATTGGCTATCTTTTTAAAAAATTATTTTTAGTTGCAGATAGACACAATACCTTTATTTATTCATTTATTTATTTTTATGTGGTGCTGAGGATCAAACCCAGTGCCTCACATGTGCTAGGGAAATGCTTTACTACTGAGCTACAACCCCAGCCCTTGTCTGTCCTTTTTTATTATAGCATTCTAGAAGTAGATATGAAGTAGTATCTCATAGTTTGTATTTCCTTTAACAACTAATTATGTTGAACATCTTTTTATATGCTTATTAGCCATTCTTATACCTTTTTTTGGTGACATGTCTATTTAAACGCTTGCCCTTTTTCACAGTTTATTTTTAACTGATAAATATTGTACATGGTTAAAGGGTACCATTCAATGTTTCCACACACATAAACAATGTGTAATGTTCAAATCATGGACTTGCCCACATTCATTATTGAATTTTATAATTTCTTTCCCTCCCTCCCTTCCTCTCTCTCTCTTTCTTTGGTTGTATAATTCTCTCTCTCTCTCTCTCTCTCTCTCTAGAGAGAGCGAGAGAGAGAAATATATAGAGAGAATTGTGTGTGTGTATGTATATACACAATTTTAACAAAGCAATTGCAATATATATATATATATGAAAAATTTTTAAAAATATGTCAACAGCCTTTATTTTATTTATTTATGTGCAGTGCTGGGAATTGAATCCAGTGCCTCATGCATGCTAGGCAAGCACTCTGCCACTAAGCCACAACCCCAGCCCTCCCTTTTAAATATTGAGACTTGTTTTCTAGTCTAACACATTGTCTCTCCTGGAGAATGTTCCATGTGTACTTGAAAAGTAAATATACTCTGTTGTGGGGCAGGGTTTTCCAAAGTTGGTTTATATTATTGTTCAAATCTTCTCTGACTGATTTTCTAATTGTTCTATCCATTATCATTTGTTTATTTTTTTTAGGTGTAGATGGACACAGTACCTTTATTTTATTTTTTTAATTTTTATTTTTTTAATTTTATGGGGCTGAGGATCAAACCCAGTGCCTTATACATGCTAGTGAGCACTCTACCTCTGAGCCACAACCCAGCCCCTATTCTATCCATTATTAAGAATGGGATATTGAACTCTCCTACTATTATTGTTGATCGCCTGTTTCTCCTGTTAATTTTGTCAGTTTTTGTTTCATGTATTTGGGGGCTCAGTTGTTATGTTCATATATGTTTATAATTTGGGCAGCTTCCTGAGGAATTGGCCCTTTATTGTTATAAAATGTGTTCCTTGTCTTTACAATCATTTTTCTTTTGTCTTAAAGTCTTTTTCATTTCATATAAGAATAGTCTCTTCAGCTTCTAGGTGATTACTATGCCCAAAGCACATTTAACTTTCTTCTTGTTGTTTTAAATCCTGTTTCTTTTTTCCTTTTTTAAAAAAATATTTTAGTTGTAAATGGACACAACAGCTTTATTTTATTTTTTTATATTGTGCTGAGGATCGAGCCCTGTGCCTCCCCTGCGCTAGGCAAGCGCTCTACCACACAGCCACAACCC